GAATAAGCTTACTAACTTTGAAGAAATCCTAGATGTTTCTTGGACCAAAATTCCCAGCAACTCTGGTGAAATGATGGGGAGGAAAGATACACTAGATGCACTAGTGACCATAAACTGGGAAACACTGAAAGCATCTCCATGGTGGGGTGCTTCTGGCATTTTCCACAACGTAGATAAGATTCTGCTTACTTATGTTTTGCATCCCCCGACATCAAGTTCCAATAATGGAAGTGCAAGCTTGTTTGTTTGCTTGCTTGTTTGTTTATCTATGTGTTTATATGCCACCATTTTGCTAGCAGCATCCCTAGGCAGCTCACAATATTAAACATTCATTTAATTCATAGTCCCTCCATGGATGAAAAAGTACAGGATTTCTTTCCTGGGGCCTTTGGCTGAAGTTACACCAAGACACTTGTTCTCAGGGCTGTAAATGACGCCTGCTTTAAACAGAGCCACAGAAAGCTGCCTCATTTTGAATGACACCATCAACCCTTGGTTCTGGGAGCAGCTTTCCAGGATCTGAGTCTCTCATCCCCTGGTACTTATGTGTAAGAATGATCCCGAAATAGTTCATGATCACCCTCCAGTACTACTGTTGAAAGAGAGAGAGAGAGAGAGAATTTATGACTGCATTTTGGGAACAGTAATAAGGAAAGTGGAACATTAATATTGAAAATAGTTAATAGAAAAATAAAGTATGAACGTCATGAAAAATATCTCCGATCCAGCAATGGTCTTCATATGTTCCTCTGAAATAAATTGGGCAAGTCTTTGTGTCTTGCTCAGCAGAACATTCTGAATTAGTGGTCAGATCCTTTGGACCATCATCTCTGGTCTGGAAGTCTTTCTCCACTCACAAAGGGCTCATGCAGATGGATCTTTTAATTCTTCACTTCTCATTAGTTCCACTGGGATCCTCACCAGTGCCCTCTTTCATCTGCCCATTGCAGGACTGTCGTGAAGAACTACCAGCACTTTCTGGCATTGGCCTTCACCATCACTGAAATCAACAAGAACCCGGCACTGCTTCCAAACACAACACTCGGCTTCCGCATCCATGAGCACAGAGATCTTGTGGGAAGAATGCACCAGAACAGCCTCTCTCTGCTTTCCACTCGGGGTCAAATGGTTCCCAATTACAAATGTGACCGGCGGGACAAACTGCTCTCCGTTATCGGGGGTCTTGACTCTCAATCCTCGAGGGAGATTGCATTGTTAATGGGCATCTACAAGATCCCACAGGTACCTGGGTCATCTGGGGATGGATGTGGGGCCCTGCAGGGCTCAGGAACATGAAGGTGGGCAGATGAGTATCTGAAGAGAGATTTGCCCATGCACTTGGTGTGTAGCCTCAATTCTGACCTTGGCTTCCCTGTAAGATGGAAAATTTGGTGAGAGTCAGAAGCCCCAGGGGACTGCTGCATGGGCAGTTCTGGGCAGCAGTGAAGCTGTTCAGTTAAAAAAGGCTGGATGTGGAGATTTCACAATAAGCCTGGTTGCAATTGACTAACAGAGCTACCCCACTTGCTGTTCTGGTTTCTGACAACAATATAAACCTGTCAGTCCTGTGTATATTTAGCCAGCAATGGCTCCTAGTTCTCTTGGCTATTGGCTACCTACCACAGTATCAAAGGAGATAATGCCTGTGTAAAGGAGTGGGATGGGAAGGATGACCAGGAGGTGCTTTTCCAGTCATAGTCTACTTGTTCTTTTCCCTCTGGTTGCTGGGCCGCCATTGGCGCAACAGAATGTCAGACTAGATAGACCTTTGGTGAGATCCAGCAAAGCTTTCCTCATGTTCTTATTAAAATGGTGATGGTCAGAAATTGTGTGGGTTACCTGCATGGCAGCCCAGATGCTTGGAGTGGCATCCATGCTGGAGGCAGGCCATAAAGCACTTCCTTTTGTGTGTAAATATCCATGTCTAAAATTGGCATTTCATTTCTTGTAAAAATGTCATGCCTCCAAAGAAGGCTGTAGGTGTCCATTGATTCAAATGCAAAACAAAACAACACAACACAAAAACAACATAACATGACACCTAACATTCCTAGTCTTCAAAATGCTGCCAAATTCCTGTTGCAACAGTCTAAAAGAATTTCCTTTCTTCAGCTCGGTTATGGCTTGTTCAACCGTGTTCAGGGAGAGAAAATGGAATTTCCATCCTTCTACCAGATCAACCCCAGTGAAGATCCTCAATGCCTGGCCTTGGTCAGTCTCTTGCTCCATTTCCAGTGGAACTGGATTGGGCTGGTGGTTCACAACGACGACGCTGGTGAAAATTTTGTCAGGACACTGGCACCAATGCTCAAGCAGAAGGATATCTGTGTGGCAGTCACAGAAATGTTCAAGGCATCGGATGAGGATCAAATCCTTCGAGTGGATACTGAAACTCTTCCTAGTTCTTGGTTGGACCCCCAAGTGATGGTTGCTTTTGGGGACATTAGTGTAATAGGACAATTGGCATCCTGGATGACTTTTCATGCAGAAAAGTCCAAGGTCCCATTTCGGAAGGTGTGGATCCTGACATCCCAGTGGGAGGTTGCTACAGACGGATCCCTTTTGGATGGGCGATACCTAGGACCTTTCCATGGTGCTTTGCACTTTACTGTCCGCAGAAAGGATGTGCCAGAATTTAGGCAATTTCTTTCTGCTTTAGATCCACTCCAACCACAAGGAGACGTCTTTCTGAAAGTCTGGTGGGAATGGGCCTTTCTCTGTCAGTTTTGGAGATCAGGCCAAACTTCTCCCAGCAAGTGGAAGTTCTGCACTGGGAAGGAGAAGGTCCAGGATGTGCCAGCCTCTGTATTCAGAATGAGCATGTCCAGTCACAGCAACAGTGTCTACCATGCCATCTACTCTATCGCCCATGCACTACAGGCTGTGTCCTCACCTGCATCCACACGTGCACTGGCAGGGGAAGGCAGGAGTCTCCTGAATATTCAGCCCTGGCAGGTAACCTCCCTCCTCAGTTATGAGAATCTAACAAATTTACCTTGATGGTTCCCCATGCTGTGATTCGAGAAGCAAAAGTCTCAACCTGGGAGAAGAATGGTTGTTAAATTCCAAGTATTCTAAGAGAGACATTCCACATCCCCATGGCCATAATGGCAATTAAACACCATTAAGGAAGGAGAAAGGACCATGCAAGACTAGGGTTGCAATGAAGCTCCAGAGAATCCATCCCTCTTCAGTTTGTGAGTGTCCCTTCATGGTCATCCTATCTTAGAAAGCAAACCAGACTTTACCTTTTCAAGGACATGCTTAACTGGGGCATACTAGTAGCTCTTGGCCTTCTTTCTATCCAAACCTGCATAGGTTTCACCTTGATAGAAAGCAATTTCATGCCATATCTACCAAGTCGAATGGAACATCACTCCCTACTGCTGAAAGATCACTCTTGCTGAAGCAGCAGAAAGCAACTTTCAGCTGGTAGGGTTTGCCAAAAAAAAAAAAAAGAAAAAGTAAGAAGTGCTTATCATACTTTCTTCTTCAATATTTTACTCAGAGTCACAGGAACCCTCTTCTGTATGTGTACTCAGGGGCAGCTGGGGCAAGGCATGGCAGGAGACACAAAGGGCCATTTCGAAGGAGCTGATGCTTCACTTCACCAGTCAACATCCAGCAATGACTATGCAGGATGATTTCTGCAGTGCTTGTCTGAGTATTATGGACAGGCAATGCAAACTTTAAGTGTGTTTCCTCGCAGAGGTACCTGGCAGTGCCAACCAGGCAGAGAGTGCCGCTCTTCTGCCTTTTCCTTCTTCATGATTGGTTTTAATTTAAGTATGAGAAGAGACAGGCAAAGTGGTGGGAGATCACAGGAGCATGACAAATGGAGGATGACATCTTACAGGCTCGCCCACTAAAAATTTAGAGCTTGCAGAAATCTGGTAGTGCAAGATCAACCTTCTTCTGGGTCACGTGCAGCACAAATGGAAAAGGTCTGCCATTGCTAGTGGTTTTGTAGGCCAAAGTTCCTGGAGAGTGCCAGGCAAATATTTGGCATTCTCCCCAGAAAGCAGGACTGCTGGCCCCAGAAATGTGGCCAGAGTCCCAGGAGATGCAGCATTAATATTATGATCTACTTTTTCATAGACACAGTTCTTGGGTGTTTTGCCATAATGAGAAAAACCATGCTCATCCATTCATTACTACAGTACACCATTTACCATAATAAGCAACTTAAACAGTTCACTTCACTTGTACTAAGATAAGAGTAATAGCATGATAACAAAATAGGCAAAACCAATCATTCCAGTTTAATATTGGTTATTATTTATGGGAAATTAAAGGCACAGGCAAATACATGAAACAACCCTTTCCTAGGTATGGAGGAATGGATGCGTAGTACAAACAGCAAACAATGGCCCTGGGAACAAAAAGTGCAAAGATAGGGAGCAGATTTCTCCCAGCCTGCAGCTGCCAATGTTTTCCTGGCTCCTCTATCATTCCAAGGAAGTCCTCAAGCTTACAGCAGGGATAAGGGTGGCCTTGGCGGGTCACATCTCCTGTGATCTGGGCATTGCAGCCACTTTTGGAGGGCCTGTGGTGGCTTCAGATCCACACCCACCACTCTAGAAACAAGGTCCTCTTAACTTCCCAAGACAGTTCTCACCATACTCCATTACCTCATCCTGGAGCAATTCTCACAGTTCCATCACAGACAAGGGTGTGTATAGAGCTTCTGTATTGTTTATGTGTGCACCACTGTGGATAGAAGACAGCACCAGGGGAGTCTTCCTCTGAAACACATGGTTCTACTCTGTGAAGTAGGATCGGTGCTCCTCCTGCAGAAGCAAAGAGCAGGCCACCTCCCTGTGTCCCTTATGACTTCCTGACAGCTAGCGAAGCCCCATGAGATGTTGGCCTCCTTGCTTTTGATGGAAAATCCCCGCAATCCCATGCAAAGCCACGAGGCAGTGATTTAATCTGTTTGGACCACTCACAAACTCCAAAATATATTCCAGCAACTACTGCCCAAAAAAGATGAATTTAAGGTATTTGAGTATTTATTTATTTATTTGAATTGTATCCCACCATTTAGCCAAGATTGGAAATTAGTACAGCAAAAAAAAAAAAAAAAACACTTTCCGAAATGAATTATTTTTTGGAAAACTCCAGAACCCCCTCCTTCTATATCTTTGTTACTTTCAGATCCTTGCCTCCTTGAAGAATGCCCAGTTTAACCATGGTGATGGAGATGAAAAGAAATATGACATTGTGAACTGGATCTTGTTTCCAAATTGGTCTTTTGCTCCAGTGAAAGTGGGAGGCATAGATCTGGGAGCTCCCCCAAGCCAAGACTTCACCATTCACTCAGAGGGAATCATCTGGGCTACAGAGGTGAGATGGAACTGAACCCTGTTGGTCATGGGAGAAGTAAAGAACCTTGTGGGGACTGTTTTCCTCATCTTGGGAAGATGCATATCTAGTTGAGACCAAAAGTCTACTGAGGCTGGGCTGGGTTGCTGTTCATGGCTCAAGAACCAGCTTTTCATGCCAATATCACAGCTTTGCTTGGGGGTAGAAAAAGACTCCTGCCTAAACTGCAAGAGGTGCCCCCAGCCCATGTAACCAATACCCTGCAAGGTGCACCTAGGATCTGGTTCATTGGATGGCAGACTCCTGTGTTTTTTTTGGGGGGGGGGTTGTTTCGTTTTTGCTTCTGAATACATTTTAGACATACTTTGCAAGGTGGATGAGATTTCCCCATAGACACATTTATCATCATGCTTTCCTGTTGAAGCACATGATCTCCATTCTTGGGTGCAATTTCAAGGTGATTCTTCCATCACTTCCATCCAAATTAAACCAGGCAAAAAAACTCCCCGATACCCTTCTGAAGTGGCTTATTGGGTTGCATGGGGAACATGGAGTATAAAATAGATCTCTGATATGCCTCCACTGACCCCAACCCCTCACAACAGGGGGAGGACATGTGGGATAGACTCCTTCATGGTATGGAGTTTGTTTTGGATGCCTGATTTCCAACATTCTATTCCTTTCTGCCACGGGAATCCTCTTCCAAGTAACCCGCAGAAATCCAGATGATATTTGGCCTTGCTGAATAGGTCATCCAATCCACCATGCAATGGGGAATTCTGAGTAAATCAGTTCTGTGACAGTGTTGTCATTGGATATCCTCAAACATTTGCCTTTTTTCCTTTTAGACAATGCCTGTTGCACGGTGTGTGGAGAGATGCTCTCCAGGGCACTGGAAAAAGGTCCCAGAGGGGAAGCCAATTTGCTGCTACAGATGTGATCATTGTCCGGAAGGGACAATTTCTAAATGGACAGGTAGTTCAACCATTCAGGGCCAGATAAAAGCCCAAAACCTACTGGGGTGAGAATGGAGTTTGAACAAGTTCTTCAAGAGCAGAATTCTATGATTCTAATGATCATGGAATCATAGAATCACAGAGTTGAAAGTGGCCAGAAAATCACTGTGTCCACTCCTGCTGTTGAAAGACATTGTGTTACACCATCCCATTTGGACGATTGACCAGGCACTTTTTCAATGTCTCTGAAAGTCTCAGTAAGGCTTTCAGACATCTCTAATGAGAGATGGAACAATTCATATGGATATGAAGATTTTCTTAATAAATATGCTGTTGGATTGTGCACAACAATCATTTACTTCTTTAAAAAGTAAGCAGAATATACTGCAGAAACATGCATGAATGTTTTAAAGGTTGTTTTTCCAATCTTCTGTACCTCAAACAGGAGAAACAGAAACAGAAGCAGGGAGTCCCATCACCGACATATACCATGTTTCCAAACTCAGCTGTTTCATTCTATCCAAAGTCAATAAGTTTGGGAGAACACTGATCAGAATGGGTGGTTTATTGTCCTTATATCTGGTTCTCTCTGTCCTCTGAGAGCACTCCATCAGTTGAACAAAATGGCATATTGTTGTTTCTTTGTTGCTTGCCATTCAGAAGAAACATAGGATAGGCCATGTGTATCCGTTGGTTTTACTTTTCATAAAAATAATAGGATTTCAATTTTAGTTACAGAATTCTGATGTCTTCCTTGCACGGTACTGAATATGAACTTAGTACAGGGGTCATCATCTGAAAAACAAAGAAATATGAAAAATGATGCTGCTTGAAGAGAAAGAAAAATAGGTGTACAATAAGGTAGACATGCTGTCCCAAGAATCAAGATCTGCATATGGTGATTATTCAGTGGTGATATATGGAGTATATTCAGCAGTGATTCTTCATTCCAGATGCAGCTCAGTGCACCCCATGCCCAAAAGATCAGCACCCAAAGAAGACCCAGGACCACTGTCAGCCCAAGAAGATCCACTTCCTTTCCTATCAGGAGACCCTGGGAATCACTTTAGCTTCTCTGGCTCTTTTCCTCTCTCTCATCACATCTCTAGTGCTGGCAACTTTCATTAAATACCACAACACCCCAATCGTCAAAGCCAACAACCGAGACCTCACCTACATCCTTCTCATTTCTCTCCTGCTCTGCTTCCTCTGCTCCTTCCTCTTCATCGGCCAACCCACGAGGTTCTCCTGCCTTCTCCGACAAGCTGCTTTCAGCATCACCTTCTCTGTTGCTGTTTCTTCCATTCTGGCTAAAACTGTCATGGTGGTTCTAGCGTTTATGGCAACCAAGCCTGGGAAAATTGCAAGAAAGCTCTTGGGGAGACAGCTGACAAACTCCATTGTGCTGGCCTGCCCCCTAATCCAGGCTGTGATCTGTGCTGCTTGGCTGTTGACGTCTCCCCCATTCCCACACCTGGACTTCAGTTCCCTGGATGAAGAGATCATTGTGGAATGTCATGAAGGTTCAGTCACCATGTTTTACATTGTCTTAGGCTACTTGGGCTTCCTGGCGCTCATCAGCTTCATAGTGGCATTCCTAGCAAGGAAATTGCCTGACACCTTTAATGAAGCAAAGTTCATCACCTTCAGCATGCTGGTGTTTTGCAGTGTTTGGGTTTCCTTTGTGCCCACCTACCTGAGCACCAAGGGGAAGGCCATGGTGGCCGTGGAGATCTTCTCCATCTTGGCCTCTGGGGCTGGTCTCCTGGGCTGCATCTTTCTTCCCAAATGCTACATAATTCTTCTGAGGCCCAGTCTCAATAGCAGAGATCATCTAGGAAGGAAGAATAACTAGGGGAATCAACACTTTGTTGTCCCCCTTTCATATTCACTTGCCACTCTGAATGTCAACCCTGGTGTCCTTCCAAATTGGTCTTTACAAGGAAGCTGAAGAAATTCATCAGGAAGGTCCGGAAGGGGAGGGAGAAGAAAGTTTGTGGTTAACAATGAACCAGGAAGTTTATCAACTCTTCTTCATATAAGCTGCTTGAGTGTTGCATTTCAGAACTTGTCCTTATTTATAGCCTCCGATTAACTCAGCAATGGATATATATTTCAACAGAAACACTCCATTGTGAAGAAGCTGCAACTTCAAAGTTTGTCAGAAGGGCAACCTGTATGTACTACATCACCAAAGTCCATTGTGGGTATTCATTTGCATGGGTCATCCTGGCTAGGCAGCCCCTATCCAGGAATGAGTTCCGGGTCTCACCAACTGAAGGTGGGAATGAGCATTCTAGTCTACCTGGACCTTCTCTGACAGAGATGGATTTAGGAGCATCCCAAAACAATCCACCAGTTTCTCCAGAAGAAGTGCAATCCCATCCAGCACAGGCAAACAGCCCACTTCCCAACCCACAGAATTGTTCTGATAAAAACACCCACAAAATTTTTAACATTCACTTTTAGCCATCTTATTCTTCATTGGGATTGGAGAAGTTTGTCATAGTCAAGGGTGGCAGCTGGCTTCTCAGACATGACACGAGATGTAGCCAGGACCAAGTCAGGCACTGGATCATAATGATTCTTCCTCGTAGTGTAGATCAACACTGGATCTGTATTGTATTGCAGTGTAGATCTTTGTACAGATCAACAGTCTGTACAATGCTGCCATCCAGGGGACACAGAAGGACAAATTCCCCCTCTTGGTAAAGAGAAGCAAGTAACCCCAATATCTCTCCTTCCCTCAGTAAGTGCCTCAGTACACCAACCCTGGGCCACATTCCTCGCATGGCTGATGGGAAGGTGACTTGTGGGGAGGCTAACCGAACAATCTGGAGCTAAATGGGGGTGGGGCTTCTTGGCCATGTTCTAGGATGCATCCATT